TATATTTCTCCTTTAAAAGAGTCCAGAATGCATAAGAAGGAGAGGACAAAAAAAAGAATCTGAGGAAAAGATACCAAGAAAACTCATTGTAATACTTTGAATAACCCTTGCAACTTGTAAAGTAATATTTTTGCTTTATGATAGGAATCTCTTCCACTTGTTTTCCTTGGATGATTATTTGTATCTTAAGTTGGCTCTAATTTTGTCCATCCAATTTTGGACGTCAACATTATTAAAATTATATTATGATAAAAAGAAGGTACGGTCTAAATTTCAATTCCAAGGCTAAATTAAATTAATATTTCTCTTCAATGCTTCACTTCTTTCCACCAATCTATTTTAGTCCTTCAACTTATAATGTGTGGGATTTGACCAAAAATGCTACTTTTATTCAAATGTCGTCCTTCTTGATCCAATTTCGGGCTTTCTATTAAAATAATCCAAAAAAAATACAAATAATTAAATATCAAATTCAAAATAATACAAAAGCCACTTTTGGTGACTTAAGTAAGTATAAATTTAACATTTATCAAAATTCTACAATTGAAATTTAAAAAATTTTAAAAATAAAAATCCAGAAAAATAAAATTATAAAAACTTTTAAAAAATAATAAGTAATAAATAAAGAATAGCTCAAGCGCTTAATTATTAGCTATATAAAAATTCTAAAAAAATATTTAAGTGAACATAAATAAAAATATTTTCAGTTAGCTCCTTTAATTTTTATTTTTATTTCATATGTTTTAAACTTAATTTATTAATTATTTTTATTTTACTTTGTAGCGAGAAAAATATTATAAGATTTACCAATTTTAAAATGTAATATTACATGATAATATATTAATATATAATTATTTTATTTTTACTTAATAATCAAAATTCATTGAATAAAATGTTATAAAATAATTTTTCAAAACTTTAAATCAAACGCGTTTTCTAGTTTCCTGTTTTGAGAAATAATTTTTGAAAAATCAAATGTGCCCTAATTTTTTAACTTACAAAACCTATTTTAGTATAAATTAATTTCTAGGAGTTAAAAGGCTTTTAGGAGCAATTGCCAATTGAAAATTTTCAAACCTACCGCTCTCTCTCTCTCTCTCTGCATCCATGGCTGAATGGGTAAAGCGCCCAACTGGAAAAATTTGTAGCTCCAAAAAACTGTTCATTTGTAGTATAAAAAAATTGTTTATTTGTAATTATTAGTAATTAATTCTAATGTATCAATGTAGTATAAAAAAATTGTTCATTTGTAGTATTTTATCATCACAAAAAAATATTGATTCATAGAAGTTGAGTTTTGAGAGTCCAATTTTCTTATCTTATATTTCTATTCTAAATTTTATTTCTTTGGTTATCCTGTATTTTATTTACTAGTAATGAGTATTACATGTTAATGTTACTTAACAATTTGCTAAGCCACATCAAGTGTGAACATTTCATGCTCATTGGAAATTTACTTGGAATGTATTGATTTGTTGGAAAGTTTATAAATTATTTTGGTTTCTAATTCATGATATGAAATTTATTTTATAAGTTATAGACAGAGGTGACCAGTACCTCCACGATTTTTATGGTATGAGTTTGTTCCATAACTAGGTATGTGAGTTAAGGTATTTTCTTTGGAATGTGACATATGCTTCAGTTTGTGGTAAGTTTTGGGATCAAAATTCTGTTGCAAAGCTTGATAAATGAAGCATAAGTTTTGTATCAGAAACTAGATGATCCTGCCAAATGAAAAGCAGGGTGACATGAGCGAAATATTGCAACCATGATAACAAGTGTGAACTATATCTGTAAGATGAATAGTGCATGTGTACTTCCAGTAGATTGAGAGAATGACAAGTAAATGAATTAAACAAATTCACGAACAAAATCTAAAAAACCACGAATGATACGTTAAAGGGTAAAGTGGGATTTCTGCAAATCGCAAAAAAATGACTTAATTAATAGTTCCGACTACTAACGTAACTAACCAATGTCATAACCACTAAAATATGATCAAACCGTTCATAGCTATAATCTTGCATAAAATATCAATGCCGTTAAAGTTACTTGACACGAATATTCATGGGAAAAAAAAGATCGAATGGAACATACTGTTTCTTGATTTCTTCGTGCTTTCCATACCAATGCCCTTCCTTGACCTCCTTACGGTCAAAGAAGTTACCAAAGCACGACTCCCTAAGTAAATCCTTTTACGTGGCATCGAGCTTGAGATTCAGCTTAGATATAACATTACACATAAAGGAGACATTCATGCTCTTCCGAATCGGTTGCTAAGGTGGGTGTAAAATTACCTTCATGATGCACAAAAAATAAAAAAAATTGTCAATACAATATATAAATAAACATTCAAGTAAATATGGGGTGCATTAACATTTGGGATAAAATAACATGATATGATTACATATGATGCATGTAAATCAGTAGGCATCAAGTAATACAACTCAGCAAAAGTATATCGAATAAGAAAAATAGCCCTTACCTTAGAGACCCAATTGTGGACATGAATTACAAGAATGCCAAGGGAGACTCGATAGAATTGAATACTAGGTGAGAAACATTTGAAATGATTGTCACACAAACAAGAAGTTTCCTTTAATTCGGCAAAACCCCTGCAATTCATATTATGGCCTTACAAATAAATCACCACAGGTAGCTTGCGAAGATAGCTTGATGCTGATATTTGATATGTGCTCAGAAATTACATAAAGGAAAAGGAGCATCAAATGAGCCCAAAACAATAAGCCTAATATCTCACAGCGCATCCAACTTGCAAAGGGTCTTCATGTCGATTGGGGTAGGCATAAACAGGCAACGATAGAAATTGGCACAAATAATGGGTGAAAAATAAAGATTTTTAATGAGCTTAGCTAATTTTTTTTTTTTTTTTCCTTTCTCAAATAAATTTGGAGGCATTTCTCATAAATCTAGACCTCATTTGGCAAACACATTGATAAGGGATGCATTGATATTGTTGTGGTGCAACAAGCTGACTACCAACCACCACCACACCCCATCGATAACACTCAGGGCCGGACTTAAGAGGAGAGGCCCAAGAGGCCTCCACCTCAGGCCCAGAATTTTTAGGGGCCCATGTCTTTTTTTCATAACCTCAGACTTCAACAGTTCAGCCTTCAGGCCGTTCGTTCACTTACCTCCAGTTGAGAGACGAGTCCAGAGTCCAGACGGAAGAAACGGTAGTGGCAACTGGAAGTTCCGAGGTCTGAGCTGATTTGGTGGCGTCAAGATAACCCATCGACCCCCCTCCCTTCCCCAGACCACCAGCAAAATACACACAGAGAGAGAAATCCGTGAGGCTGTGACGCCGTGTCGCCGTGAGGCTCGTGATTATTGAGTAAGTATTTTGTTTGCACTGACTCAACCTCCAGTTTTCTGGTGTCTGTAAGTATTTTGTTTACACTTTACATTGAGTATTGCTGTGTAGTTCTGAGTTCTCCGCCGCTTTTGCATTTCTTTGAATTTTTCTTTCTTTCTCCTAACTTATGAAACCACGGGCATAAATTCCAATTTCCACGTGAATTTCTATTCTGAGTTTGTATATCTAGCGTTGATTTTCAGACGATTTTTCTGATCTATTTTTACTTCTGGGTTTTCCAAGCGGCAGTAAGCTAGGCTAGCTCTTATTTATAAACTTTTGTGGGTTTTGAGAAATGGGGAAATGTGAAGAATGGCACCAACATGTAAACATGTGGAATTTGAATGTTGCTTATTTTTCAAATTTGATTTTTGTAATTTGTTTATTTTGGTTATCTCCAGCATACTTTCTCTTGCAATGTCATTGTCTTTTCCACATGATTTCAAATAAGAAAGAAAATTGATATGTATTTTGTTCTTTTATAGCATTCATGATATGCGTTTCACTTATTTTGTCCAAGAAATCATTTTGATTTTATACATTCCCTTATTTTCCACTATATCTCTGTTTTCAATTTTCTTCCTTAATTGTCAAATTACATTCTTTTTCAATTTTATGATGTACAAACAGGAGAGTCGATGTATCAGTATCAAGAAGGCAAATGTTATCAGAACAATCCCAATGTCTAACCAGCAATCCAATAAATGATTGCTGGCCCTCTGTCGGTATGTAATCTGATTTCTATGTTTATATTTAAATGGGGTCTGTTCCTCATTGAAGGAAGTATCCAAAATATCAAATTTATTTACAGATGGTGTGTTTCTAGGTATCACTTCTTCTCTTTTTGCATTGAACATTTCTCAGATGAAGTGGGCTGAATAGGGCTATTTTATTGAA